CTATCAGACCGGTTGAGGCGTTGCGTTCTGCGCTCCAACTGCGCATCCGCCATCGTTCTCTGGCTCCGCAGGGCTGCTGGAGGTCTGGCCCTCTCCTGCCTCCTTGGCATGTCAGCTCCCACGAGGTGGCTGGATCACATAGCCTTTGGTGCTTGTACTCATTCCACCCCTTGTGTCTTCAATACCTCTGCAGTTTTCACAGTCTGCTGCAGTTGCCAAACAGGTGCATTTTGGGGCAGTTTTGGGACCTGTTCCCAAAACTCACGGGGGCAGCAGGATTATGGCCATGAGTGAGGAGTCTGGCTGCTCTGCGTTGGCTGCCACCTCGGCTGACTGATGGCAGCAGCAGGGTGAGCCATCCCTTGGCAGATTTGCTTTCAGAATTGGAAGCCTGTGTGGTTTGAAACCTCTGATTCAAGGGAACAGACAAACAGGTCAGGCTCGAGGGCTCAGAAACACTGAAATGCAGTCGAGGTTGCATGAGCCTCACTGGAGGAATCAGTGAAAGGTGCTACTGAATTCTTTAAACCTGTCTTGTAGGTGATGGCTGCTGCCATTGAATCCACAAGCTTTGAGGAGGAACAGCTTTCTAACAAGAGAGAAACTATGACGTGGAAGCCCAGAAAAGGTAAGCCTAAAATATTAGGGCAAAACAAAGCAGAAGGTGAGTAATGAAACTTACACTCTGCTTGAGGAAATACAGTTAAAACTCTGTGGTCGTGCATGGGAAATGCCTTTTCAGTTCCTGCACTGAATTGTTTCCGTGTAGATATTTGTGTATGCTGAGGTGCAAAAGTAATTAATCAATACTACAAAAAAATATTTTTTTTTTTTTTTTCCTTTTTGTTTTGGTAAACTAAAGCTGTGGGTTTTCAACATACCTATTTTTTATAAATACCAACAGGTGAATGTGGTGAAACAAGGCTGCTGGGTCCTGTGATGTAGTTCAAACAGTTATTTTCCAACAAGAGTCTGTTGAAAATCCTGGCTTGGGCTAGTGTGGTGATGCAAGCCTATGTCTGATGTTCCCAAGCATCTGAAACCTGAAACAATACTGTAGCGATACTACACATATAAGGAATTTCATATATTATAATTAGATTAGTGGTCACAACGTGCATTCATATACCTGGCTGAATTATTGTGTGCTAAGCATTTATTTGTTCCTCTTTATTTCCTAAATATCTCTATTGGCTCTTTCTGTTGTTTATAGAACATTTACTGAAGAGTATTCCAAATGTTCTTGATAATGAGTCTGAACAAAGTGGATTATCTGATACCTCTCACAATGAGAATGATGTCAGTGGCTCTCCTGTTGACTATGCTCATACCCACTCTGACCTCGAAGACTTGGGCAGTGAAGACTCCAGTATGCCCGAGGCTGTAACTTTTCCAGAGATGCAAACTGCTTCTGTGTATGAGGCGGAGGACTGGGATAAAGAATTGGAGGACTCTGAATGTGATCCTTATGGTGAGTACAAATTTACTTGTGCTTCATTTGAGTTTTGGTTAGTGTATGATTGGAGGTAGATGCTTTGCAGGAGAATGTGTTTAAATAACTCCACTTTCCATTTTGGCAAGCAGCTTTTTGTTGTTGTTGACCTCATGGATTTGTAGTGCATAATTTTGTTGTCAAATACAGGGTTTAAAGGCACTGTTGTGAAGTTCACATGAAACTCTTGCTTAAGCAATTGAATTGAGTGGAATGGTAAGGAGAAGAATTTATGTGTGTTTCGAGTTTCTCTGGAGAAGCTAGGTCTCAGTAGCGTTATCTTTGTTATTCTGAAGCAGAAGAGAAGAGTGCAGGAATGTAACACTTTTGAATAAAAGGAGTTCTTCCTTTCCTCCAAGAAAATTCATCTGGACTGTACACCATAATGTCCCTCCAGAGCACGGAGTTCTTCAGAGGGGAGTGGTACAAGTGCTCAGTCTCTGAGTATGGTTTGTTGTGGCTTTTGCTGTAGTTTTTTGGTGGTAGGTTTTTTGTTTGGTTTGGTTTGGTTTTTTTTTTTTTTTTTTTTTAAGCTTTATCCTCTTAAGTGATTGTGCATGTGATCAGTCCCATGGACAAAGGTGGCCACAGAAGCAGTTTCATCCACATATTTAGAGTTGTTTTAATCCTCCAGTTTGTAAACTGTTTTACAGTGACTTGTGTTGAACTGAGAGTCTTGATCTTCCATTTGCCCCAGACTATGTTAGGGTAGAACAAGTGGATGGAGTTTAGCCAGCAGTGGCTGATAACCTGCTGTGTCTTTGTTCACGCAGAATAGTACCATTTCCATTTTCTTCTCATTAATGTGTGTCTTTTGTAACTAATACAAAAACTCCTTTCTTTGCTTAGGAAATATCAATTCTCTGTTTATTTTAATTCCATAAATGGCTGTTGTATTCAAGTTCCATTGTTTGATAACAGAAGGAAGTGGGAAAGTTTTTGCAGCCTTCCTATGAACTGATTCCGATTTTAAAATGGAAATATAGCAGTGGTTTTTCACACGGAGTAATCTGAGAAAAAGACTGTTTCCTTTTCAGATGTTTCCCTCTTTTCTATCCTGGGCTTTCCTTTTAATCTCTCATCTGCTCAAATTTATGGAATGTTTTGAATTTTTTTTTTTTTTTACTAGAACTGTTACAAGTTCTCTTCCTTTATTTAGCTAACTCATCCCTAGCTGTATCTTATGCTCTTCAAATCCTCACAAACTGAGGAAGCTGTGATTATGGGATTCAGGCGCTTGTGAAGGATGCTTAGTACAGGTGTCTGAGTTGTTAACTGCTACAAATAAAAAAACTTGCTTGGTTGGTCATTTTACGGCTTTTAAAAAACTTTTTTGCGATGCTTACTTTGATGGCTCGTTTGGCCACGCTGCTGGAAGGCTGACACGTGGATTTTCTGTGTTGGGTCCTCTGCTGCCCCATACTATGCGCTTTTCACTTGCTCAATCCTTTCAGCATCTGCTGGCTAGAAAACTTTTGCTTCTGTTAAAGGACTTTGCCCTATTTTTGTTAGGTTAGTTAAATAACAGGCTTATTAGGTTCAATTCTAGCCTAGTGGAAATGTTGAGAGCTAGCTTTTACAGGACCCCACCCTTCCATTCTGTCCAGGGACCCAGTTCTTAAAGGGTTTGGAGGGCTCCTCATTGGGATGTGGTTATGGAGACAGCAGGAAGGGGAATGGGAAGTAAAAGTGATGGTTGCATGAGCCTTTTATGCCTGGATAAAATGTAGAACTGCATGAATTCTAAGAGCTGGTGTCAGATGTTCTGAATCCAGGTATATCATTGAGCTTTTTGGAAAAATGTTTTGTCTCTGTGTCAAGAACCTTCCTTAAAATGAAGACGTTGCCAAATTCAGCTTTCTGTTTGCTTTGTTTGTAGGTCTAATTCGTGAGTGCTGGCCGATCAAATTGAAATAGTTAACTGGAAGATGCAAAATAATGTGCTGCACTATACCACTAGTTTTCTAAGTATCTCCCATGGTTTAAATATTTTCTTTGACCTTTTTTAGATGCTGCTGATCTCCACTGTGGAAGCTTTCAGGAAAATAATCTTTTGGTCTCATACTCATGGCAAGAGGATTCATTTTACAACCCAGGTTGTCACCATGCAGCTTGCCTTGCTTTTACGCCACCAGTTAGAGTGACTGAGACTGGCCAGTTTGATGATGCTGATGAATGAGGTTGACCCTGGTCAGAATTAAGTTTGGCTTCTGAGTTGGATTGTGTTTTTCACCAATTGAGTCATGTCAAGTCCTTTGGCTTGCTTGCAGAGTGCTGCGTAAGGCCAGAAATACTACACATCTCCGAAGTTTTGCCTAGACTCCTTTTGAGCTGTTTAGAAATCGACCATGCTTGACCTCTGGAAACAAGAGTGCAGGTGCTAGCTGTAAGGAGCGTTTCTGGACTTTTTGTTTGTCTTATATATATCTCTGTTGTTGCTAATGAATTCCTCGAGAGGAAGTATTTAATTTCTAAACTTCAGCTTGTTTGCCAAGCTTTGCCAGTTTTGACATACTATGTGTGTGTCTTTGTTCACTGTATGTCTATGTAACTTGTAGTTTTCCTTCCTTTTTCATTTGATGCTGTCAAATTGACTTGGATAGCTTTAAAAACTTTTCCTTCTTCCAGCTTCTCTGTTGTATTTCTTTGTTGTGGTTTGTGATTCCATATCTAATACTGGTGTTTAACAAAATTAGCCATGAATGACAAATACAGAACGAGTTGTTTTGTTTTTATTTTTAAGTATTTAGTATAGAGGAATTACAAATACAGGATACACATTTTGCAAACACACATGTGGACATACAGAAGGGCCTGCTGCATCCAACGGGAATGCTGGGTGCTTCAGGCTGCCTCCCAAGGATTTCTCCACATCAGACCTTGTATATGGACATACTATCCTCACAGTCTCACATTCTCATGCGACATCAGACATGTAGTGACAAAGAAAATACCTGTGCTTATATAGTGTCTTGCAGTATATAATCTCTGTGTCATACAAACAGTGGTGGATTAAGGTTCCTGATACTGCTGATACGTTTGTTTTGTTGTTTCTGTTGTGGCAAATGAGGAGATGGGAACGCAAAACAGCTCCGTAAAGTCTCTAAGAGAATAGCTGGGACTAGAACTGTATCCTTCTTGCCTTTGCTTTGGAGTTAAAGGAAACATTCTCAAACGAAGTATGTTAAGTGGATTGAATGGCTGGTCACTTGAGTAACAATAATCTTCAACTAATGCTCATGTTTCATTAATCACTTATCTCAAGAACTTTTCGATGGGTTTGTGGTTTGACGCTGACTGATACTGGAGCACAGTACCCGTGTTTGTTTATTCTCAGGCGAGGAGTTGACATTTACCACTGGAAGACTTTTTTTTTTTTTTTTAAATCATCCAATGTATGAGACTGAAATAATTTACGCATTAGTTTGAGGATGTAAATGACGCTGTGATGTTTGCTTAATCTTTTCCTAGAGAGCAGAAGAGGATGAGAGCTTGGAAGAGTCTTTTCTTCTGGTACCTTGCAGTTCCTGGTTACTTCTTAGTACCTAGCAATTGTAAAGAGTGGAGGCCTGGTGTCGAGGTTGCAAGAAAGAGGGCCTGTTCTTGTATTCCTATATGAGGGAGTGATCTAGGAATTGGTATTTCCATCAAAACTTACTTTGGCATGCCTCCAGAACATATGCAGCAGAAAGCACAGTCTAACAGACTCTTCTTTCCCTGTGCAACAAGAAAGCCCTGGCTGTGCTCTAAGGCGTGGGGCCTGGTTTTTTGGTTTGTAGACAGCTGTGTATCAGAGAGAGAGTGCAGCTTGCTGAGTGCTGTGTTACTTAGAATATGCACTTGACTCTGTGGAATAGACGTGAGAATTGCCTATGCCCCGCTTATCAGGTTTGGATGTGTGGTGGCTTCTCTCTCTAACTGGGAAAACAGGAATGAAACTATGAGCGTGACTATCACTGACTCATCGACTAGAGTAAAATTGTTGATTTGCATTTATAAGTGCAATATTAACAAATATAAATTGAGTACTGAGATTGCTGTTGAAGTAAGAATACACCGGTAAGTTGTAAAAGTTCCTCTGAAGAAGTACAGGTGATTTAGCCTGTGTATGCCTTCCCAGGCCTCGGCTGTGGCTGGCGATGCCCTCGCAGCCCTGCAGAGGGAACTGTCCACCCGGCTCAGCGCGTTCTCGCCTGGCACTGAGCTTCATCAGCAAGTGTCAGATCCCCGGGCTGGATTTCTAACGTTGATAGCAATTTAGTTCCGTGTTCTGCATAGCCCTATTGTTCCCCAGCGAGACTAATTCGTAGCCCTGATTAGTTTCTTGGGTTTTTTTATTTCACTCTGAAGTTATACTTACTGGACTGAAAAATTTCTCCCGTGGCTGAAAAAAGAACATCACTTGACTTGGCTTAATATATTTTTTTTTACTATGCTTGTGGGAGATGTCCCACTGTATTTAATAAAGATGAAACTAGCAGAATTCTGTGGTAGCAAACCCGCCTTTTTCAGAATTGTTTTAAAAGGATCACCAAAAAGTCTTGGTAACATTGACTAGGATTACTTTCTTCCTGTTTGGTTCCAAAATTCCATCCGTACCAGTCTTCAAGCCATTTTCTATGCACTCTATAAATCAAGTTTGTTTTTTCAGCCTGTACCTTTAGTTGCAATCAGCCTTGCCTGTCTCGACTGTCTTGTTATTTGAGGAGAAGTTGTCTTGAATGGCTGCCTTGCCAAGCTGTTTGTCTTTTAAATGATAGTAAACTTAAAAGATTTGGTTTTTGTTTCCCTTTAAGGTTAAAACTTGACACCACCCCCACCAGCTTTGCGGAAAAAAAAAAAAAAAAAGGCATGAGGATTTTACAACAGAGATGCATTGCGGTCTCTAGGGATGTGTTGGCAAATGTAACTTCATTTGTCTTGGCCCTTCTTGTTAGGGAAGGGGCTTAATGTAAAGCTTGGTCTGAATACTCTCTGACTTCAGTGGGATTAGAAAACCAGATGCAGACTTCTCAGAAAGCATCTCCCTGGAAAGATGTGAAACCAAGCTCGTGGATTCCAATGTTTCTGCACTACAGAGTGTTTCAAATTCCATTGTGAAGCTTGCACTGAGCCTGTTTTGGGTTGACACAAGTGTATCCTTCTAGGCAAGAATACGTTGCAATTAAAAACAACATAAGGTAACACATGAGCCAACAATTCAAGCCAAGAGCGTCAAACTTTCAGCCTGCTTGAATTATTGGAGGGAAAAGAGTCACATTAGAGGACCAAGATTGTGAGTATGTTGTGCATACAAGAAACACATTGGCAGTACGTAAATCGGTTGGAAAATTTATCAACGTGTCAAAGATTCCTCAGTTAAGTGCACATACATCGCTAACAAGATTTCCACCTTCTGTACCTACCGTATAAGATAACATCCAAAGGACAGAAGGCTCGGCGGCAGGTTAATGTGCTTGCGGGGTTTATATTACGGGGGAGACGTAGTGCTGTGGCATAATACGATGACTCAGAAGGAGACCTGGGTACAACTCTGAAGCTGCCCTTGGCTTTTCTTGTTTCCCTGTTTTACAGGTACAGACAATGAAACCAGCCTGTTCATAAAGTACTTCAAATTCTCTGAGCAAGAAATTTTGTCTAAATAGTGAAGTGTTAAAAAAACCAAACACAAAACCAAAGCAAAACAGTTTTGCATTTTCTTTGAGCAGGCCAGCAAAGAAATGGAAACTTCTTTTGGGTGCATCTGTTGTTTCCTTTGAGACCTACAGAGAATGATTTGCAAGAGGAAATAATTGAAGGAAATGTGTTCATATTTCCTGTTGATAAGGTACAGCATTTAATTCATTCATCAGATTGAGATAGTGGTGTCGTGCTCTTATATAACCACAAAATCCAGCCTATTTTAGTGTCTTTTAAAGTGTCTTTAAAGACACTACTGCTTGACTTGTTTTGTCCTATCTTTAACTAGTGTGCTTTGGCTCTTAAGCTGAGAAAACACCTTCGCTGTTGAGGGGACTATGTGAATAATTTCACAGACTAAAGGAAAAATGCTGATGGCAGCAGGTCATCCTGACCATCTGCTGCTTCCAAGGACACCAGTGTAAATCCCATTGTAACAAAGGTCACTTTGTGAAGCTAGTGGGTAAGTCTGTAGGCACGGGGAGGGAACTTGTGATACTTGCCCTCTGTGATTCTGTACTGCAAACGTAGACATTGGAGCTCGAGTATTAGAGGATAAAATTGTGGTGGAGTTGTTAGTCCTGGGAGAACCAGCTGCTCATAACATAGCTTCCTAGCTTGGCAGAAGAAACTGTAACCTACTAAAAAAAGCTGCAGAGCATGCAACCCTAATAGTTGGGTTTAGTGATGGAAACAGCTTCCTTGAAGCATTTGGAATAGATCCTCAGCTGGTATAAACTGTTGCAGCTCATTACCCAAGCAGAAGCTCTGTCACTGTATATCCTTCTATGTAATGCCTGTGTCATCGCTGGGCTAAAGCTCATGTTCAGTGTTTCATTAATGCTGTGGATTTTAGTTCTTAATATAATGGCCTTTCTTAATATTCATTGTAACTCTCCTGACCTTCACAGAGCAAAAGGTATGAATGTGGCTCAATGTCTGTATTTGTTTATTTGCAGGTTGTTTTGGTGGTGGTGGTTTTTTCCACATTGATGATAGCTACTTTCAAGACATATAGCCGAAATCAGCCTAGGAAAGTTAACTTCTTACAATTCAACAAGTCTTGATTCTCTGGCCTGAATTATTTTAATCAAACCTTTTCTGATCTGCCTGCAACTTCAGGATTTAGACCTGGAAAATCTTTTCATTGTATGATGCAGAAATTTGAGACTGATTTGTATACATAAGTTATGTGTATTTGTTTATGAGTCTGGGGTCTCAGTTTATTGTTTTATTTCCCTCAAAGGGAAATACCAGTTAATTCTGCTCAGTCTTTTTTGAGCTATTGATCCTTAGTAAAATTCACATTGAGCAACACATTTTCTGTAAGACCTGGAGTACCAGAGAATGCCAAGTTCTCATTGTGCTGCTTTGCCATTTTAATCAGTGTAGGTACGGCGGACTCTTCTTCTGACATTAAACAGGTTATTTAGTGGTTTTATCCCTACCTCGAGAACTATTCCACAACTTGCACGTTCTCACTGAGGAGTTCCTTCAGTT